TTATATTCTAAGAATACAAATAAAAAATTTCTTTAAAAAATTTATATTTCTTTAAACCCACTAATCTTTGGCCCAGTCCAAGTTTCCATTCACGCAAAAAGGAGGAGGGAAAATCAGATTGAAATCTCTAGAAGAGAACATCGTCGTGGGTTTTACTAGGGTTTTAGAGAAGACGACCTGATTTCCGGCGATTTCTTCTTCCTATTATCACTCATAAACAATTTTCTGGTAATTTTCATTTGATTTTATATCCCTTAATCCTTATTCCTTTTTAATATCAAAGATCTTTTTTTTTTTTTTCCCTTTTTGTAGAGAAAATATTTTGTTTCTTCGAGCAGAAACTCTCTCCTAAAGATCGTAGCTATTGCTACTGCTGGATCTGGTTTCCTTTACGCAAACTGCAATTCCAATTACGGTAAGTTAAAATTTTCTTTTTGAAATCAGAAAGATTTGAATTCAGGATCGGAACATTTTTCTCATCAACCAAACGGGGATGTAATCAACTGTACTGAATTTCGGAAACCAGGGTGTCTTTGTCAATTCCTGCACAGTTGCGTGAATCGGGATTGCTTCCATGGCAATTCTTGGAGGTTTCGACGCCACACCCTTTGTTTACTTCAGCTGATTTTTCAAATCTTGGTTTGCCCTCTTCCTTTTTATTCCCTTTGAATTCAATTGAGATGTTTATTTTACTACTTTTTAATTTATAGTTCGTATGGAATTTGCATGTTTAGGAAATCTTTGGCAATTTTCATCAAGGGTCAGTCCTGAGCCTGCTGGGGATGTAAAAGAGGAAGTTCCTTTCGAGGTTGGTGATGATAAAAACCATGCAGCAGATGTCTAGGTAGAGATAGTATTGCTAATGTTGCTGCGAAAGTTGGTCCTGCTGTTAGAGGTGTTCACATTCAATCAAATCTAATAAGAAACCAAACAAAAACATATATAAATTTGGATTAATTTGAATTATAAAATTTTAAAACTGATATAATTAATTTGATTTGTAATTTTACTTTCAAACTACCAGAACTGTTCGATTATAAAATAAAATTCAATTACAAAATAACTTAATTAAATAATATAATATATTTTTTGTAATATTTAAAATTTTTTTTCTTATTTTATAAGAGACAATTCCATTAATTTAATTCAAAAATAAAAATAGAATATCTCTATATTCTCTAATTTATTTTCCTTTCTAAATCGTGCACTATAATTTTAATTCTAAATTTTCAATTCACTTGCAACTCTATCCCTTATAACTAATCTACGACCCTACTTTTATAACCCTAAATTTTTAATTTATTCTTAAAATAATATTTTGATCCTCCTAATTAAATTTTAAGAAGTATCATTTTAGAAGTTTTAAGACTATATAATAGAACTAAATTTGATATTCTACTATTCTTACATATTTGCTTGAGGAGTTTTAAATCTTAATTATGAATGCTTCTAATCATTCCTAATAACGTTTACGTTAAATTTTATTTGCTCTAAACAAGATTTGAAAAAAATTAGTTTTAACCTTTAAGAATTACTTGTACTGTATTAAAACTTAAAGTCATATTTTATTATCCTTGGTGTCTTTGATGATGTAATCAAGAAGAATTTCCAAATCTTTTCAATCTTTACAATTGTAAATGAGTATAAAAACTTGTCTATAATTTGTGCATTTTATTATGTTTCTAGTGATTTAGATGCTAATGTATTTTATAGTTATCGTTTTCTTAGAAATCCTTAGCCGGCCCCAATCACATGAGTTTGGGAGTAAGATGTGCTACTTGCTTTGTCTAAAAACAAGAAAAATAGGATTTTCCAGACGACCTTCTCCTCTCCAATAGTTGACCTCCAAAAGGATGGTTGGAAAAAAACGTTTGTAAAATAAACTACGCCTCAAACAATGTTGCAAAACAGAGGGTGGAGTTCTGTAAAATGAGTTACTAATTGCATTGGACACCTCTAAAGACTTTACAACCACTAAAGTGTAATAAAAACTACAAACTCTAAATTAAATACAATATCCTAAGGTAATTAACCTAATATGAAATAAATAAAGGAAAATAACATGTCACAAAATTAAACTCGCAAACAACAAACTATGTAAAATTGCAGACAATGATTTTAACTTCGTGATCCATAACAATTAAACTAATTACTCGCAGATTTAAAAATAAAAATAATTAATCTACTTCATTGTTAAAATTAAGGGAGAATCAATGAATAGAATAAAGTCTGGAAACGTGAAGAATAAAAATCCAAATCTTGAAACTGAAAATAAATATACTGCGAAACAAAGAAAATAAAACAAAAGGCAATCAACCAATTTACACAAACAAATAATTGAGATAAATCCATAAGGAAAAGAAAAACTAACCTAATCAATGGGGCAGACCCGTTTTTAGGTTTGAATTGCTTCCAAATCCTTGAAAAACTAATGAAAGTTGTAGTCTTTGAAAGAAAATACAAGCGAGGATGGAAAAACCTAAATTGAAGTTATGAATAAGGACAGATCTTGAATTGTAATATGGAAACTATGCTGAAATCTAGAAGAAACTGATTGGAAAATTGAAAAGCATATGCGTTGGGTGGTTTTCTGTAGGGCAGGCCATGTCCTTGATTTTTTTCCTCTTGTTTTCCTTTTCTTCAGTGTTGGAAACCATCCTCCGTGATCTTCTGCCTTCTTCCCACCATAAACGGATAGTGGGGATTTCACGCCTAGGTAGTTGTTAGTTTTTTTATTCAATTTTAACTCTAATAAAACCCTAGGAAAAATCTTCTCTTAACTTCTTAATTTAAATCAAACTCAACCACCATAAATTATCTTATCTGCTACCACCTAAACCCAACCCCTTTAAAATTTTGTCTAACCCTTTAAACTCCAAGCCAGCCCAACCAAACCCAAATTAGCTTACTGACTCTCCTTTTAGATTGGACCTTAATTTGACACATGGCTTTCTCCTATTGGTTTATTTTTAAATGTAAACAGTTATGTTTTCTACTTAATATTAAATTTTTTTATATTATCGCATATATTTAATAATGTTAAAAATCAATTAATCTAATTGAACCACACTGATTCGATTTAAGTTGTATTGGTTTGGTTATTATATAATAGTGGATTTGATTGGTTTAAAAATTTTACTAACTGATTAAATTATATTGATTTAAAAAACATTTAAATCTAAACCAAATCACACCGCCAATACCCCTACCTGCTGTTGTCAACTTGTCTACTCCCCAGGGTATTGTGTTGAGAGTTAACACTACAGTGTTCCATATTGAGTTATGATTTTGAAAGATTAACTTTTTCGTTTTGTTTGTAAATTGTGTATAGGATTCTACGGGATAGCTGCTGGAAAGGGTGTTGGTTCTGGAACGATTATTGATGCGGATGGCACTATTTTAACATGTGCCCATGTTGTGGCTGATTTTCAGGGCATGCACCCTTCTTCTAAGGCGAAGGTCAGTGGTTACTTGTACATTGGAATGCCTAGGTCTAAATAGTCATTTGAACACTGTCCTTGATGATGCATTTGTAGTTTTCACTTAGAACCATTCTGCCATATCAATATTGTCATATTTGAACTCTATGTAAATCTAGGGAAAATTCTCTTGGAATGGTCATGGTGCTGAGATTGCAGTGATGCAAACACTAGTCAATTTCAAAATTATTTTATAATCCATGCTGGGTTTTGCATCCTCATATATCCTTTTTTAGCTCTGTTGTATTAAAAAAAAAAAAAGCATGCTAATGGAAAGCTATTGTTAGATGAAATTTGACGTCACTACAAGAAAACCTAGCTTCACTGACCAAATATCATCGAGGTAAGAAGGTTTCTCGGTGAAGCATCCATTTACCGACAAGATATAAGTCTGCAACTTGAGAAACAATAGAAATGGCAGTAAGATATATTATTTATTATACAGACGTAAGACTCGTCGGTAATTTAACAAAATACATACGTGTTTCTTGTCGGTAATTGTAACCAACAATCCGGCCGGTGGGGGGAAGGAGGGAAGGCATATCATCGACGAGAAGTACGCCAATAAATTGAATTTGGAACGATAGTCTCGTCGGTAACTGAGGATCAATTTCCAACGTCCATCTCCTCGGTAATTTCCACTCCCAATGCACCCCTCCCGCCAACTAGCTGGTTGCCTGCGTCAGGGGTGTAGCTTTTCGATGACATTTCCGACATAGTGCTTGTCTGTAACTTGCCCTTCAGCAACTCCCGCGAATCCGACTGGTGGCCACTGGCGGTGCAGCTTTTACTTTGTTTACCGATGATATATAGGTCGGTAATATGTCTAGTTCCAACTTGATACTCGTTGGTGATTGTCTAGTCAACGGGAATCCTGCTGCAACGCAGAGATGAGCAGCTTTAGACTGTAGCAATGTGGGTTTCGTCGGTAAGCTTCCCTATTGCCCTGCCGACCCACCCTTCTGCTTTCATTTTGGTCTTTCTCCTTT